GCCCCTCGGGGCGGCGTCCCCGGCCCGGCGGGGCCCCGGCACCGGCCGTCCCCCGGCGTGTGCCCGCCCTCTTCCTTGGCCAGGAAGGGCTGGCCCCGAAGGGCTGCCTGTACCTGGGTGTGCTTTCTGCGTGTGCTTATCCCGGTCGGTCCTTGGAGCGGAGGCCCAGCCCGGTTCGTTGCTTCCAGCGTGTCGTTAGTGTTAAAAGCAATGAGGTCCTTCCCAGATGTTCCCGTGTCTTCCTGGTGTGCTGCTGATTTTGGGAGGGGGTCACCCCAGAGCTCCATATGCAGCTGTGGATGGGGGAAACATGTTCATGCTTAGGCAGGGAAAAGGTGGGCTGTTTCTAAAGGCATTTTTTCCCCTCCTCAGCATCTTGTGAGGTGATGAGGGTTTTTTTTTTTTCCAATATTTAAAAGCAAGTGGGGTTTTTGAACTTAGGTCTTATGCTTTTCGACAAAGAGATATTTTTTTAGGGCGGGTTTTCCACCACCAAAAAAAAAAAAAAAGAAACAAAAAACCCCACAACCTTTCTAAACTTACTCCTCTGTACTTCTTATAACTCGGATGGCTGCAGCAATGGGAATGCAGTTGAGACACTGAAAAATGGAATAGACCGGGTATCGACTGCAACTAAAAGCAGTTATTCTTAGGTTGTAGGGACTACAATATATTGCATTGCCGTTCAGAGACAGATAGGTCATTACCAGGTTCCTCACATTGGTTTCCAGCTTCTTTGTGCAGCTCCTCTTAAAGCATAAGCAACTTCCCCATTTCTCCACCAAACGGAGGAGTCATCCCTGGGATGTGAATTCCGGGTTGTACCGGGCAGGCGCACGTGCAGCAGAGGTGCTGGAGGAGGCAGCCAAGACCGAGAAGGAAGTAGAGGAGCAAGCAGGGGAAGGAGGAATGAAAAGGCCAACCAGGCAGTATGGGAGATAAAAATAGTCTAACTTGTTGTTTTAGTGTAAAGCCTTGAAGTACACAAGTGATTTACGTGTGAATGGAGACGTAAGCAGTTTCTAGGTAACCCAAGAGAGTGTATCTGTTAAATGAGACTCAAGATTATGGAGGAGCTAAAAAATCTTCAGTTTGAATAGATTTAAGTATATCTAATTAAAATATGTGCAAAGCAATAGATCCTGTGAGTAATGAAAAAATCATTTGATGTTGATGTTAAAGTAATTATAAACTCTTTGAAAGAGAGAAGGCAGTATATGGATGTGATTATGTACTCCTTCCCCACCGTGAGTATCCAAATGACACGATATCGCTCCCTAATGCACCATTTAGAGCAATTTGGTAGCCCGAATGACACTGTAGCAAATGCCTCTGGTGTGGTTGTGCTTGGAGCATGAATTTGCTGCTGGGTTTATGGCCACCTCCGTGGTGCAGTAATATTGCAGGCCCGAGTCAGCAGAGACCTTTCTGTCTTTCCCTGTAATGAATGGACCCTTAGTCCTGCTGAGCTAAAAGGCAGAAAAGAAGACATGCACCCTGGTAGCTCAGTGTGCATTGCAGAAGAATATTTTCTTTTTCGACGCCTAAAGATCAGGCAATCATTGGTAATCCACTGTACACACCAGTAGACCGGTGAGAGCAGCATTTAGCGTAGCTATTGTCTTTGGGCTTATGTTTAGCAAAGTTAAAGCCAGACGGCAGAGCAAGAGCCTCTGTATGTGCTTATGTATATGAAAATGTTTATCATGCCCCCATGGGGCAGCTCGACAGTTTGATTTTTTTTTTTTTCCTATTTCTTGGTATCTCTGGTTAATGACGTCTTATCTGGGACACTGCACTCTAGTTGGTCATAAAGAGCAGAAGCATTGTTACAATCTATGGAATCACCGGAGGGAGCGTGGGGGGTTTTATTTTGTTTATTTGGAATTCACTGGGTGACTTGATGCCTCCTTGTGCTTCCCGTCCAACTTTCGAAGCACCTGCTGATACGATTGCCACCTGCCCTTCAGCAAACCAGCCCGCACCTTCACCCCAAGTTGCTTTTCTGAAATCCTTACTGACTCAGGCTGCAGTTTGCAACTGTTTTCAGTTTCTCTTCATTATCCAGGTGGTTCTGCATATGATCTATGCCAGAGTCATCCTTCTGACATCCTCTCCAGCCTGATCCAAAAATAAGTCCTTAAAGTGGTATGCCTTCAAAACCTTGCTGTTCTAAAAAGGCTGCTTTTCAGGCCCTAATTGTTTTGGGGATGTCAGTTCGTATTTTTCTTTTTTCTTTTTTTTTTTTTTTTTTAATTTCAAAGACATTCCTCTACACTGCAGACCATTTCTGTTGTCAGTCCCTGATTCTCACGGAATTGCACATATTGCTGTTGAATTTGAGGCTGGTGGGTGTGCATGTTGTGCGTTTCAGGTACAGGAATAGACAGTTCCTGCCTTTTATGCCTTGTTTCCTCTGTATTTTCCCTCTCAAGTAGTGCTTGTCTTCCTGTATCTCTGTCACTCCTAACGAATGTCCCATACATCTAAGAGTCCCACGTCATCCCACGTTTCCCCTATGGCTCTACTATACTTTGCTCACCTTGGCAGTAGGAGAGATTCCCTTATTTTCTACCAAAGATTTGCAGATGTCTACTGCCCCTAAAACTGCATTTCTCTCTCTCTCTCTCTTTTTTTTTTTTTTTTTTTTCTTCTTTAATGCCTGGTTTTGTGCTGGGTGAAGTTTGACCTCCTCTGTCCCTTCCAAATGGCGTGTTTACCCCCTGATCTCCTGGGCCTGTTTCGTTACGTATTGGCAGAGCTGCAGCTGGTGCAGCAGCCCCGTGGCAGCAGCTCAGGAACAAAGTGCTGCTGCGAGCAGGGATCGCGGTCCTGTTCCCAGCTGCCTCTTTTCACAATCTCTCCTTTTGCCTTGGTCCTGTTTTTAAAGGCAGCGGGCTCGTTGCGCTGCCTCTCCTCCTTGCCTTCCTCCCATCAGAGCTCTTTTTTTGGGGCGTGCTTCCTTTGGCAGTGATCACAGCAGCCCAGTATCTGCTGTGTCTCCTTTCTGCAGGGCGCTTTGCTGTTTCACAGTGTCTCAGGGTTTTGTCTTTTAAAAGGCATTTGCTTTCACTTCAGCGTGCTTGGCCTGGTTCTCTTCTAAACAGTGACTTCTGTAATGTGCCACCCTCCGTGGAGAAGCAGTGGGAGAGGAAAGGAGTCTGCGGGAATTAAAACTGCGCATAGGCAGCAACGGGCATGATTGTGCCTTACGTTGTTTGCGTGCACATGGCTTATGCTCAGGGAAAAATCTGTATATTAGAGCATGCAGACATCAGGCCCAGGGTGCTAACTCTGTCTGAAGTCTTTGGCCTTCCTGAAGAGGACATGAAAATAATTGTGGTGAAAGCAACTGGTCTGTGCTCACAGCCTCGCACAGTGGGGCTCCATTTGCCGGTTGGAAAAGCAGATTTTGTGTTCTCTCTAGCTTGAGGTGGTCAGATGTGCCCTTTATTATTGTTGTTTTTGTTAAAACTGGTGTTTATTTGTGGGTACCGATGTAAGTGTTGGTTGTAACTTACGGTCGGTAGCGGCGGCTCCCTGGCTCTTGTCCGTCAGTGCTAGTTGTGCTGCCTGTGTCCTGCAGGGCCACAAGCCGTCACCTCTAGCCCTGCACCCAGGCTCCGAGGCGGTGCTGGGGGGCTGCGTTAGGAGCAGGAGGCACTGCAGAAACGAATGCCCTTCTCTCGTTCAAGATCCAATCCCGCAGTGCCCGGGGAAGACCCTGGTTTTGTGTCAGGGGATGGAAAGGTGATTAAGATATCTGCGACAAACTGGGTTACATAATTCTGGCATGTACAAGCATGCATGGCAAGCTCCAAAAAATATCTGCTGCCAGCCTTTTCCCTCTGCACTTTTAATAAAACACTTCCTAACCATTTTTCCTAGCTCATGACTTATTGCTCTTGCTATGAGTTAAGTTCTGATTCGTCATTCAAGGGTGTTAAAATGTGGAAGGAGAACACTGAGCCTTACTGCTGTTTCAAGTCTGAGGCCGCTAATGGTGGAGCTGGGCCGCCCTGGGTGGTTTTGGGAGCTTTGGGTCGGAGCACACTGTGGTGCCCGAGCACCCCGGTGGCCCAAGCGGGCATACCCTCGTTTGGCCTGGTGTGCTAAAGAATAAAGTAACTCGCAGCTTGTTGTAATGTTAAAATCAGAATAAATAAATAAGCGACTAAAGGAAGAGAAACTAGAGATTTCATTGAAGTCAACAGTAGGCATTTTTTAGTTGTATCTTGAGTAAGTGCAGCCAAAAGTAAGTACGCTCCCTGCTATTCTCGGTGGGCTATGGACTTCAAAAAAAATGCAATCCTTAAAATGTTTCATATAGTATCCCTCAAAAATATACAAACTCTACTATAATACTATGCTGTTCCTCTGGGATTTCAGCAATCTGACTCTTTTGGCTTGCCTTTTTCCTCCTTATGGAGTGGCTTATGCAAGCAATCTTTGTTTCAGTTGCAAAATGTCCATAAAAGAGGCCACTCATTAAAATGAAATAAGCAATATGAGGTATGCAGATTCATTGAATCTAGATTTCTGATTTAGAGTGTTAGAGTGTGACTTGAGGAACTACAGGATGATTGAGGTTGGAAGAGACCTCTGGAGATCAAGCAGGGTCAAAGAGGAGAAGGAGCTGAAGATGTGCTAGAGTAGTTTCCCAGATGGGGCGGGGGGAAAAAATCACTGTTCTGGTTCTTGTTATTTCTTTCAGGATTTCCCAGATGTGTTTTTCACTGGCCAAGGAGCCCTGCAGTGGGGTGCTCTGGTAACAGCTGTGCTGCGTGTACAACAGATAATAAAACCTTATGATGCTGGGAGCTGTTCTCGGAAAATAGCTGCCTTAAGACAAACTCTGGGATGAGTTGATAGGTTTGGATGGTCAGGGAAAAGATGAGAACTATGGAATTTGTTTGAGGGATATTTCTGAGCCAAGGTAACCCTTACCCATTCTGTTCATTTTATCTGAAACCAGGTGGGTTCTGGTAGGCGCCATGTCGCAGGACCTGGAGCTCCCTGCTGCAGCAAGCAGGGGAACCAGCTCCCTCTCGCAGGAGCTGCTGGCGGAGCCTCGCTCGGATACCGAGGGCACTGTGGGAGCACGAGGCAAAAGCAGAGCCCTGCCCCAAGCAGGGGACACCCAAGGACAATAGCCAGACACGGGGATGTGTAGGGGAAACAATATGGTCAGAGTGATTGCGCTGTCAGTGTTTTTTCAGGCATTTTAAGAGAGGAGATGGGCAAGCCGTCCATGCTGGGTTTAGCTTGTTTTGCACAATCCTGCATGGAGCAGGCTCAAGTCCGGAATAACAGGATTATTGTGACAGCTTGAGGTGCTCTGGTAGCTGTGCGGTCTTCTCAGTGCCTAGCCAGCCTCTGCTTTAACTTGAATGCCCAGTTCTCTTGTGTTCATGACTCTGCACATGAATTGAATTTTGCTAGTACTTCAACAGCCTTAAAATAATTCGGATCGCTTCCCCTGCCTATTCTGCGCGTTTAGCTATAACAGGAAAAGCTTTTTTTATTCTCTTGTGTTCATGACTCTGCACATGCACTGAATTTTGCTTCAACAAAATTAAAATACTTCAACAGCCTTAAAATGCTTCAACAGCCTTAAAATAATTTGGATTGCTTCCCCTGCCTATTCTGCGCATTTAGCTATAACAGGAAAAGCTTTTTTAAAAAAACAGTGTTAAGGAAACCATGAAGAACTCCAGCCTGACATCTGAAGTCCGGAGTCCCCGTGTCCTGCGGATGCCTTGGTGGCTGGCACTGCGGTTGTGGGGTGCAAATGCAGGATGGTGACTGCGTGAGGACACGGGTTGCTGCTCCATCCTGTACCTGGGTAATGTGGAGCAGGGATGTGTGCTGGTGGTTCTCACTGCCTGTCTCCCTTGCAGCTGCTTGGTTTCCTGTAGGTGGGATGTGGGATGGAGGGTTGTGTTGCAGGCGAGATTTGATCGTTTGAAGTCCCGAAGAGTTTTCCTGTTTCCAGTTGACCTTTTGTTCTTTTTTTTTTTTTTTTTCCTTTTTAATTGTTAAAGGGCCAGAAGACTTGGGAGTTTGCCATAATACTTTTCAGTCTCATGCGAGATAAGCCTGAGCTGATGGCAAATGGTTATTATAATTTAGCCCAGGGTGGCCTTGAGTGCGTGTGTTTGCAGTGGGTGAATGTTTATGCTGCAACCCATCCTTTGGTGAGGCAACCACGACTGGGCAGGCCAACAATTTCATGAGCAAGAAGGTGGTAACCTTGCAGTAACCTCTGCCAGATTTACCATCTGAATAGCTTCTGGCTGAGCGTGCTGCTATCTCAGCCCCTCTTATGTACATGACACTATTTTTTTACATGCAAATTCATTTGTAATTGGAGATGATTTTCTTAAGCCTGCAGTAAGCGGTTTTAACTGCTGTATGGATTTGACTAAGTCTTTCCTGTTTGTTTGTTTGTTTATTCTTCCCTCATTCCTCGAGTAAGAGGCAAAAACAGCAGTACCAAATTCCAGTGGTCCAAGGGAGCATCTACAATGACGTGGCCTACCACGAACCTATAGATGAGAGAGAAAAGAGGGAACTCTTGTACGTGGCCACTGGTCCTCCAGTAGCTGCCGGTGGCTTTGGGAGGCGCGTGGAGGTCGAGGCCTGGTTGTGTTTGCCTTAGCTGTGTGCCAGCTGGCAGGAGATACCTGGCCACGTCCCTCGGTGCGTGCTGCTTGGCAGCTCTGCACACAGGGATTTCCAGAGAAGGGAGTCGGGGTCTTTCCAGCCTTCTTCCTGTCCCTTCCGACGTGACTCATAAGAAGAAAATCTCTGCGAAGAAGCACTCGGAGAGGAAGTGCGGCGCTTGCTTGGCACGCGTCGCGTGTGAGAGCCCACGGCGAGCGCGGCCGGTTTCCGCGGCCACGGGGCTCGCCCAGGAAAGCAACCTGAGCTCAGGAAATCACATCGTGCCCTTTGAGCATGGGGTCTTCTTCATGAGGTAATCCTAACGTACAGCGAAAGAGCTGGAGACAGCGAAATAGCCTCTGCCGGGGTGTGCAAGGCAGGGAGCACTGGTGTGCCCAGCAGCGTGACGGGCGCCGAGACGGGCCTCAGCGAGGGATTTTGAAGGCCCGGGAGCTGCGTCACGCTGGCTGAGGGAGCCGGTGGCGTAGCTCACCGAGATGTGCCTGCAGCCCTGCTGTCTTAAATCTAATATCCTGTGAGGGCTGCGCATGAGAAGCTTCCGTGCCCTGTCGTTAATTCACTTAATGAGGGTGTCTGGTAGGGGTGTCAACAAGCCGTGCAGGAGGCGGCGCTTGGAGAGCAGCCACTCTCCTCTGAAGGGTCTCGTTTTCCTATGGCAGAGCCGAGTGCGATCGCCCAAGAGGAAGCCCTTCAGCAAGGCTTGGCCCAAACCCAAGATCATTGCCCTGCAGAGCGTGCAGAAGAGCTCAGTAGTCTCTGCCAAATGTCATCTGTGAGCAAGCAGAAATTCAGTTTGGGGAGAAAAGAGAGGGCAAAGTCTGTGTGCTTCTTTTTTGCGTCCTCGTACTTTTCTTCCCCCAACCTTGAGCCAGCCAAGACACAAACTGGTGACTTGGTTGGTGTGTTCTGCAGATCGGCCTCTTTAACTGCAATGTCTGGAGGCAGGGGCGGCAGAGGGCTCCCTCTGCCTGTTTGTTTATTTTAAAAGTATTTGTAAATATTAAAGATATTATAAACCTGTGAATATTTTAATAGGGCAAATGTTACTGCTTTTTCATGATTTTTACCTTAAAAGTTTGATCAACAGAGTAAAATTTTGCACAGTCCTTGCAAAACCTATGGGATGTATAAATGGAGAGAATGTGAAACTGCTGTTAATGCAGCAAAATTCCGCTGCCTCTTTGTGCTGCCTCTTCTTTCAAAGTAATAGATCTGCTGTTTGGCTGAGCAGCAGAGGCTTGAGCTTCTGCTTTCAGAGCTTCTGGGATTTGTCCACAGGGATGTTTTGTCCAGGGCAAGGGGATAGTGGCTCTGTTGAACTCCTTCCTATATGTGCGTGTAAAACGTAACTGGTGGCTTTCTCTTGTTTGGCCTCTCACAGCTGTTACTGTAAGGGTGATTTATGATTTCCTTTGCCAGATGCTTAGAAAATACCAAAACATGAAAATAACTGAAAATAACTAAGTACAACATTTGTCATCTTTGAGATGTTTTATATGTTTTTCTTTTGCTTTTCTGTTTAGGTTTGGAAGGCGATTTGAATCCCCTCTACTGTGGCAAAGCATTATCATGATCATTACGATGTTGCTGATGCTGAAGCTGTGCACTGAGGTCCGTGTGTCCAACGAGCTAAACATAAAGCGCCGCTCGTTCGCAGGTTAGTGACAGGAGCTGGCTGTTGCAGAATTAATCATTTTAAGAGCGTATTGTGGTATGTTTTGAACAGAAGTTCTGCCTGGATTTCAACCCAGCCTCCTTTCTTGCTGATCCAGTGTGGCTCTCTGAACTTCTTTGAAACCACTTTTGTTGAGATGAATATTTAAAGCTATAATTTTATTTTAAATAGGTCTTGGTTCAGGCTGGAAATCAGATTTCTTCTTAGTATTTCACATCAAGCTCTAAGTTACAGAACTAGCTGTCATGTCTTTGTGCTAGCCTGCATTTTTTTAAGACTGTGCCTTAAATAAGAAGTTGTGCTTTCTACCAAGTTCTAAGGTGAGAGATGGACCCTGATCATATGCTGTCATCCAAAATCTTGTTTTGCAGTTGCCTGGAAAGTATCTTTCATATGCACGGAATGTATTTCCTGCTTACTAAAATATCCACAGTAAAAACAGAAGTGGTATGGTATCATACCATAGTTACAATATCTGTTTGTGTACAGTTTCTTTTGATTTTTTCCACTTTGTTTGTCCTATTTTTAGACATTAATGATTTCATTTGGGGGCAGAGTGTTATTCTTTATTTAATAGAATTCTCTTGCTTCGTGTAAACACTTTGGTTTTTATATTCTCAGTAGGGAAATGTGAGAGGGGTAGGTTTGGTGTTTCTCTGTATTGACTTTGACTTGCATCATTTTATTTTGCAGCTTATTACCAACAAGAGCAGAAGCAATACTGTCAGCTTTTTGTCAGTTGTTGTGCCAATATGGATGTATAATTTATTCTTCCCATCTGTTCTCTTCCCTCATTCCCTAATAAGTGATGGTCTGATACAGTTCCAGATATCTGCAGCCATCATCAGAAGGCGGCAGATACTGGCTGTTCATGTGGTAGCTGAGGAGGCCCCTCTCATCAGTGCTCACAGTGCAGCGTGCTGTAAGGCTGATCAAGTGAGCGGCTTCACATGCAAGAGGAGGTGCCCTGCAGCTCCCAGTGCTGCGCCCAGGTGCCCTTTCCCCTCTCCTACCATCACAAGCTGCTCTGTCCACAAGGGTTGTTAGCCTGGCGGGGTGAATGAATGGCTTAAAAGCTCCGTTCTGCTGGGTTTTGGCAGAGCTAAGCCAAGCAGGAAGGCTTAGGAGGGGCCATGGAAGTGTCATGCCTCCCTCGCCCTCCTTGCTGCTGCTCAGTGAAACTGGCGGCCACGCTTCTCTGTTTGCCTTTGCTGCAGGGAAACTGTCCTGCGTGCTGCTCTAGGCTCCCTCTGTGCCCTTTGGACAAAAGGGGAGGCTGTTCAGTTTAGTGCGTGTTCCTCTTTAAACAACTCTCCTGGCAGATGGACAGCTTCTTAAAAGGTGATCTGTCCAGGTATGAGAAACTTGTTAAGGCTTGTGTCATTTGATCCTTTTTTCTTTTTTTTTCTTCTTGAAAATCAACTTGTCATGTGTTTAATTATCTAGACAGATGAGTTTTACCTCTTTGTGGACCATAATTGCTTGTTTTCAGCTGAAGATTTCCCTCCTTCCACCCACCTGGAGAACGGCACAGTGCAGCTTAAAAGTCTCTTATGTATGATATTTTTTTTTCTTTTTAATGAGTGATGAAGTATTATTTCAAGTATCTTCAGGCTGGAGGAAACATGAACACTGAAAATATTGATCCCCTGCCAGCTATAATGTGCTGGCTCAGAATAAACCTTTCAATGCATACAGCAATCCCAGGGAGGTAGAAAGATGGGTTTGTATTTAAAGCACAAAATCAGTAGGAGTGAAGAGATATGGATTTCTACACCTACTCTTAATCTTATCGCTTAAATTTTATGGTCTCCTAGGAAAGCTGATAGATCTCTCTGTACTTTCTTTCCTCATAGCTCGTCTGGGCAATGAGAAGCTAGACTTGAAGTCAGTGTTTTTGAGGAGACTTTGCAGAATCCTGAGCGCACAATTTCTCTATTATGTAATATATAACTCCTCAGATGTCAGGTTTTCAAATTAAATCTTTTTATTCTGTCATTTCCATCCTCCCTCTGAATGTTCCTGCAAAATAGTTCAAACTACTTAAAAAGTGAAGCTAGTTTTGGTCTGTTCATTGCTAGGTTATTGCCTTATTTTCCTCCCTGGTGACGTTAGTATATGCTTACTAGTGTATTCCAAATTCTGTGGGAGTTGCCTGATTTTTTTTTCCTGTTTTTATTATTCTCCTAAATAATGTCTCTTAAATAATAGTTCAGAATTAACATTTTTGAAGCATTAAGGAGCAGTCTCTCCTAATCCTGACAAGGTTGTTCTCTACTCTGTTTTGTGGGGTCACTGAGTTAAAATACATATTAGTTGCGGTTTAGAATATGGATGAAAAGCCATTTGAGTGCATTTTAATTCATAGAGCAACTCTTATTGCTTGAAAAAGTCAGTCTCCATGAATTGTTTGATTATTTATTGTAGCTTCTTTATGGAGAACTTATTAGGAAAACTCTTTTTTTTGCCATAGGCTTTTTTTTCTTCTGCTTTTTCTCCCTTGTGAAGTGCAAGTAAGTTAAAAGTAGCAGAGCACCCCTTGTGCTGTTGCTGCTTTCTCTCTATATACTGACTGCATGAACTTTTCAATTACATGTATTGCTTAAAATGAGAGTTAAGTCCCCTTAAATGCCAAATGCCCAACTATGTTACTTAAAAACACCTTTGACTGTATACCCTCTTTTTAACTCCCCTGCATTAAAAGAAAAACTGCAAAACAAAAAAACTTTTCCTCTGAATTCTTCCATGATCGGTTAGTTTCTGATCTGCACAGGAATAACATGAAAGTGAGCGGCAGTGTGAAGGTGTCCTCAGATAAAGTCACCAGGCATGACAAATGTCTTGCCTAGTTTTATCTTTTACTGTTTTTGTTTTATCTCGACTGTTTTACTGGTGCATTTCCTGGCACAATTGTTGCGATAACAATAGCTCTCCTTGTTCATTGCTGGTTTTTAATTGGGTGTCTGTGCAGCAGCCATATGCTTGTTGTTAGCTCAAAACAGCAAAGTGCAAAGTTCAGTGGGGTTTTCTTTTGTTGTCCTAGTTCAAAGCAGTGTATTATTTCTGAGGCAGGGTGCTGCTGCTCTGCTGGAGTGCCAAATGTTGAAAAACAAAATCTGAATTTCTGCCTGCCTGACATCTCGACTCTAGACTAGAGGCGTTTGCAGGAGGCCGTGAAGTGCTCACCAATGTACAGCTGGTCACAACTGAGAACAAGGGTCATCCTTGAAAGAGTTGGCAGGCTGGGACAGTCTCACGTGCTTGGGGAGACACTCTGTGAAGGGACTTCCTACTGCTCAGCTCTTTCTTAATGTCTTGAGGTGGGAGTGTTATAGAAAGCATGGAAACTAAAATTTCTAGCATGTTTGGTTTTGCCTTTTTCATTAGCAAAATACACTAACTGACTAAACTTTTACTAAAAGACCCACTGTTGCTTTAAATGGTGCAAGTCTATTTTGTCTCCCTTCCTTTTTATTCTCAACTTCTTTTTTTTTGTGTAGCTGCAGATAGTAAGGATGAAGAAATCAAAGCACCTCCCAAGAGATCTTATCTGGGTACGTACCATACAAACCCACTATGCATGAAGTTGTCATTTCAACTATGTGTTTCATGCTTTTCTACTTTTTGTAACCATTGTCAGAAATGATTGCATGATCGTTTCTACAGCAAATGTTTGCACTACATTTTCACATACTAAAACCTGGTGCATGGTTTTAATTTCCCCTTGTTTTTAATTCTCATAGAGGAAAAGATGCTTTTAGCTCTATTTCAGAAACTTTTTTTTTTTTTTCCAAAAAAGTAGTTGAAATCACTCCGTTGTTTCTCAATGGTATCTTTCTCATTTTCTCCCCAAGCTAGAGAAATTAAATATTATCTGGTACTGGGATCCATCTCTTCTGATATTTCTTCCTCCTCTTCCAGCTCTGACTGGAAGCTGAAACTGGAAACTGAAAAAAATCTATTTTTCAGAATGCTGGATAAGAAGTTTCCCACAGCCCTTGATATTCATCAAAAGACCAATTCTTTTTCTGTCTTGTTCCTCTCTTCCACTAGGGCAGCCTCAGTTATTACTTGGATTGGAGGTTAGTAGTACTTTACAGTAAGAGCCTCCAATCATCTTAAGTCTCAGAGCTGGAATCTGTGTTAATTTGCCAAAAAGGAGGAGGAGGAGGTATCAAATGCAGTCTAATTTTGCTTTATTTTTAACTTTCAATATCTGTGAAAGACAGTTTCTATCAGGTGATAGGCTTTTGGGGAAATAATTTATGTAATCATGTTAGGGAAGTAGCAACAACTATAGACACACAGAATTTGTCTTGGTTTGACTCAAATCAATTTTTAGACCAATTTGAATTGAAATGATGCACATATCTTTCATTGTTACTGGTTATTTTGGTTTTAGAAGGTCTGCTGAAATTCTCAAATTAGTAAGGGGTCAGTTGAAGAAGTGCAGGGTAAACTACACTATTCCTAGTTCAAGAGGAGAATGTCTATTTCTATATCTGTTCACAAATGCAGTCAAATAAAGTGGTGCCAACTCTGAGAAAACACAGAGTGATCTTTGCCTGAGTGCTTTCTTGATGCCATCAGACTGGTCCTGTTAAGGTTACCCAGGCTGTCTTTTAATGATTCGTTTTCTGGATCTTTCTGAATCAGGGGCAAAATACACACTTTGGGGTATTCAATGTGTGCTGGTCTAATACCAGTATTTTGCAAAGCACCTTTTCCTTTTATTTTCAAAACATTTTTTAATGGACTTGACATCAAACCATTTTATTTTGCTGTTTGTCTTCTAGTTTGTAGTCATTCTCGCTGGCTTGCCACACTAACCGCCAGAACGTAAACTTTAAAGGATCCTGCCTTTGATGTGTCTACATTTCTGCGTTGTGTTCAGCAATGCTTTTATTTATGGTGTCAGAGCTAAAAGTGGCTGTCTGTGCTCTTGGTTGTGGGGGAGAGGGTTATTTCAAAACTAAACAGAAATGAGTAGGTTTTTTTTATGACCTTTTATGCAGTTTTGAATTTTCAGTAGTGTCCTTTTTAATTTAAAAAATCAATACTTTTTTCTAGTTTTAGTGCTTAAAAGGTTGAAATGATTTGTGATAAAAAGCCATCCATCTTGGTATAAATGAAGCAAGTCTGAAACATTTGGTTAATAAATGGTGCTTGAAGTTAATTTTGGACTTGCTTAGCAAAATGGGTTGAATCAAATCAGTGTCCCAAAGGAAAAGGCCTGCCTTAGGCTAGTGCTCAGAGGTTTAATGACTGGTGTTGGCAAGCGTGTTTTCTCTTGAAATGGCGTAATTTTTGCTGCTGTGAATGCAGAAGAAATGTTTTGAGGTGTTTATGTACGCTTTGCGTGAACAGTTATTTTCTGTTGGCTAAAAGAGTGACAAAAACAGTGCTTTACAGCACAGCACAAGTCATGCTTCAATTTACAGAGGGTTTGACTCGGTTATGCACCTTAGTGCTGTGTCTTCCTACACATGAGCTGGGAAGCTCCCTGAGAATTTAGGTTAGGGAAGGATCTGCCATCTTTCATGTGGGGGCAGTGTGTTCTCGCGTCTTACTGAGGAGGCTAAGGCCTATCTGGAAGTAAACCTGGTAAGGGGTGTCAAGGACGACCAGAAGGACTTCTTATAATACATTAGTAGCATAAGGAACACAAGGGAAAATGTGGGTCTGCTGCTACATGGGGTGGGTGACAAAGGATACAGAGAAGGCAGTTACTGAATGCTGCCTTTGCTGCCTTTACTGCTAAGGCCAGCCCTCAGGAATCCCAGACATTGGAGAGAGAAAGTCTGGAGAAAGGTGGACTTTCCCTTGGTTGAAGAGGATTGGGTTAAAGATCATTTAGGCAACCTTGACACCCACAGATCCGTGGCCCCTGATGAGATGCACCCACGAGTGCTGTGGGAACTGGCAGATGTTATTGCTGGGCCACTCTCCATCATCACTGAAAGGTCATGGACAACAGGTGAAGACTGGAAGAAAGTCATTGTCACTCTGATCTTCAAAAGGACAAGAAGCTGGACCCAGGCCAGTCATCCTCACCTCCCTCCCTGGAAAGGTGGTGGAGCAGCTCATTCTGGATGCCATCTCTAAGAATGTGGAGGGTAAGAAGGGGATTAGGAGCAGTCAGCACAGCTTCACCAAGTGGAAATCATGCTTAACCAACCTGATAGTCATGTGTGATGGGGTGACTGGCGGGGTTGATGAGGGGAGAGCAGTGCATGTTGTCTGCCTTGACTTCAGGAAGGCTTTAGACACTGTCTCATAACACCCTCATAGGCAAGCTCAGAAAGTGTGAGTAGGTGAGCAGACAGCGAGGTGGACTGAGAACTGGCCGAACAGCAGAGCTTGGAGGGTTGTGATCAGCTGAGCAGAGTCTAATTGGAGGCCTGAAGCTAGCGATGTCCCTGGGGTCACTAGTGGGTCCATTGTTGTTCAACTTGGTCATCGGTGGCCTGGATGAAGGGACGGAGGACACCCTCAGCACGTGTGCTGGTGATAGAAACTGGGAGGAGCAGCCGTCCAGAGGGGCCTTGACAGGCTGCGGAGGTGAGTGGAGATGAACTGCAGGAAGTCCAGCAAAGGCAAGTGCAGGGAGAGAGGCCAGTAAAGGGCTGCTAAGAGGATTGGGAAACTGGAGCATCCCTCTCCCCTGAGAGGGAAAGACTGGGGGAGCTGGGCCTGTTTAGCCTGGAGGAGGCTGAGAGGGGATCTCATTAATGTATACTAGTAGCTTAAGGGAGGGTGGCAAGAGGATGGGGCCACACTCTTTTTCGGTAGTGCTCAGTGACAGGAGAAGCAACGGGCAAGAACTGAGACACAGGCAGTTCTGCCTGAACATGAAGAAAACTTCTGTGCTGTGACAATGACTGAGCACGGGAAGAGGCTGCCTGGAGAGGTTGTGGAGGCTCCATCCCTTGGAGAGATTCAAAGGCCACCTGGACATGGTCCTGGGCAATGTGCCTAAGGTGACCCTGCTTGAGCAGCAGGGTTTGGACTAGGTAATCTCCAGAAGTCTCTTCTAATCCCAACCATTATGTGAGTTTTGATGGAACTTCCCCAACAGGAGTTATAAATTGGCTTATTCCTTTACATTTCAAGGCTGTGCAGGTCATTATATTTCTTTGTTTTTCCTTCCAGTTACATAGTAAATGTGCTGTATATTGTGTTTGTAACTGAAACTTGGCTGCCCATGGAAATTTATTTTGTTTGCAGATCAGTTAAACCATTAATCTGAAAACATAGTGCTCTGCCAGTAAATTTCTGGTGAACTTGATAGAGAAATGCTGAGGCACTTGTTTGATGCCTCATGTTTGAATAGGAATTGAACTCTTGCTTAGGTCTTTCACATTGCTTTTAAGCCCTTTTGTTTTTTCTTTTTCTTTCTTTCTTTTTTTTTTTTTTGTCAGTAATCCAGCAAACCACTTAACATGTGGAACAACAGTGGCATTATCTGAAAAAGCTTTTAGCTGGCGTGTGACTCTGAAAAGTGTCCTTCTAGCAGTCAGTGCTGAGGTAGTGAGGATGGGAGAGAAGAGCACTCTGTGGTTCCACTGACCCAAATAAGATAATTTACCGCATGGTGAGCCCAAGAGTGCCACACTTTCTGTGTTCATGCAGAAATAAAATGATTTGTTTCTTTTTCTAGGCAAAGGAAGAACTAAGAAGGATTAAATAGCACAAGTTGTGGAGGAATGTTGCTTTATTCCCTTTGTTCTTTTAAAGAAAGTATTTAGTTTTACCTAATGCTTTTTAGCATTTGACAGCTGGGACTGAGGATGAGTTGTGGTTTTCTCCTTTCTAACTGAAATGCTTTGGAATAAGTTTGAGCAATTGCCTTAATCTCTTACACTGAGATGTAAGTTCCTGCATATATTTTGAGTCCTGTGAGAGCTGGAGATTGCTGGGGCAGAAGCAGCAAAACTCAAGGCATCAGTTCAAAGATACTGCGTCTTTGAAGCTGTTTTGAATGGTCTCATTTGCCTGGCAGCTGTGTCCCAAAGTGAATGCTGTTCGTTCCATTTTCCAACTAAATATTTAAACACATTGAAGGACACTTCTGGTCAGTTTTTTTTTTTTTTTTTTTTTTTTTTTTCCCCTCTCCTCTGAAGTTGGTTTTAGAACTTGCTCTTCTACTGAACCCTGAATTGACCCAGACAAAAAAAATTGTTCAAGTAGCAGCATATTTTGAAACAGCGATAATAAAGTATT